CCTTCGTTCTTGATTTTCTTGAATTAATTAGGGTTTCTCAATTGCTTTTTTATCTTTCGCTACTTCTGATTTTGATTGTTTGTCTTCGAATTTTTGTTAGCTCCGCTTTAGGTATTGGAATTTTAGGAATTTAAGGTATTCAGAGATGAATGAAGGAAAAGGGGAGGATTCCCGTGTCTGATTATTTTGGGGGCAAACATTTGGACTTCTAGAAAATTCCATGAATTTGTTAGACACGGGAGAATTGGAATTGGTGGGAAGAGAATTAGGGCATTCTCGAGCCAACATAGGGGAAGTGAATGCTCGATAAATTTTCTCCTTTTCCTATATTTTCTCGGCATCCAAACAGCAGGATCTAGCATAAAAGTTAATGCATAAAAGATAAATTTGTTAATGTTGCAGATCTCAGAATCTAATTCAGCAGCTACTCACTACAACTCGGAAGACAAATCTCAAATTGAGCTCATGCCTTATCTGCAGCAGAAACCCAGATGTGGGTTCTGCTGTAGAACCCGATCTAGGTGCTTGAATGCTTGGTTGAATTTTGCTGAGATTTGTTCTTGTTGTAATTTGGGAAATGGGATTAGAGAGAGGGTAAATTTGTAATTTTATCCTTATATTTTTTGGTTTTGTTTTGGTTATGTGCGGGGTGCACACCCGAGTGTTGGATCCGGGTGTGCACCACTCATTATCCTTAATAATATAACATTCCATCACTATTAATTAAAAAATTATGATACCAAATGATAATGAACTTCAATTTCAATGACAAGAATAAAACTATTATTAAAACCATTTAGCTCAATTATATTATTTAATTTTGTAACGATTTTATATTTATTTTAAAATGGAGAAATTTGAACTTGAAATTTCTCAAATTTTAACTTATTTTTCATTGTTAGACAATTCATCCATTCCTTAGCATTATTGAAAACAAGTTAAACACCATGTTTTGATGAAAATTACCAACTAATTAAGAAGAAAAACATGGGTCATGACATCCAGATCGCATTTCATCTTCTACTTCTTTCATTTTCTTTTCTTTGAAAAGGAGAGAGGAAATGGGGGCAAAGAAGGCCAAAGTACACGGCATTGGGATATTAACTGGCAAGAGTACAAATGCTCTTTGGCCATCAAAACTCAGGAGAAGATAAACCAAGATCTCTCTTTCCCCAGATCCTTTGTGGATAGGTTCAAAGAGGAGCAGCCTTTCTCCCCTCCCTCCTATATATTATGACTTCATTTCCTGTGCTAAAAAAAGA